TGATCCAAAACACACCAGCAAGTCCACCTCTGAATGGCTTAAGAAAAACAAAATGAAGACTTTGGAGTGGCCTAGACAAAGTCCTGACCTGAATCCGATTGAGATGTTGTGGCATGACCTTAAAAAAGCGGTTAAAGCTCGAAAACCCTCCAATGTAGCTGAATTACAACAATTCTACAAAGATGAGTGGGCCAAAATTCTTCCACAGCGCTGTAAAAGACTCATTGCCAGTTATCGCAAACGCTTGATTGCAGTTGTTGCTGCTAAGGGTGACCCAACCAGCTATTAGGTTTAGGGGGCAATCACTTTTTCACACAGGGCCATGTAGGTTTGGATTTTTTTCCCCCTTAATTCATTTAAATCATCCCTTCATTTAAAAACTGCATTTTGTGTTTACTTGTGTTATCTTTGTCTAATATTTCAATTTGTTTGATGATCTGAAACATTTCAGTGTGACAAACATGCAAAAAAATAAGAAATCAGGAAGGGGGCAAACACTTTTTCACACCACTGTATATCGTCTTATTTCTTACTTCACTCCTGTTTTTAGCAAGCATTCAATGCCACAGCTGTGGTGCGTCACATGCGAAGATTACAGCTGGGGACCAGTCAGGAAGGTCCAAGCCAGAACACGCCCACCAGCCCCTGCCATGGTGACCTTCTGGTGCCTGAGGGCGAGGAGGATGGAGGTGAGTGTAGGTGGCATATTGAGTGACTATTCCTGCACATTCCAGAAGGGCTTTGAATTGTTGTCTCCCAGATACTCTTCTGATAAGTCTTCTTAAGATGTTGAGTAAATATGTATATTCAAGCCATAGAGAATCTTCAGCGGAAGTGTCTTCCGAGATCAGGGAAATTCAGTCTAACAGACAAAAGGGTCTCATCAGGTGTGTATCAGGGGAAATACTCAGTTACTTCTTATTCAATTATTAAAATCATCACAAGGTTGTTACATTGTCCTCAGTATTCTAGAAAAATAGTTTGTTACCTAATTGATGATATTAAATTAAATAAACCTTTATACTATAATGGGCTTCAGATGTACTCAAAGCGATGTAGACAGTTCAGAATTCATAGTTTTTTTCTTTTTTACTTGATTGTAAGTGTCAATACCCATTTTTGGCCACAGTTGTGTATTATTGGTGTTATTGTTTTAAAAGAAAAGTGAACAAATGTATTCTTGCAAAATCCTTGTGTTTCTGTACTTTTAAGTTTGCATATGCAACTCATAAGTTCCAGAGTGTCAGAAGTGCAGAAGGCTGTTGTGTCTTACATGTTGCACACTTGAGCATCTTCTCAATAGCAGTCACTCTGTTTGTCACTGCAGGACCGCTCTGCGACAGCAGCTGCTCCAAGACTGCAGATGGGAGTGAGGAGCATGACGGGCTGCTGAACTGCACATACCGCTGCCATCCAGCCAGCCGGGTCTGAGCAGGAAGCTGTCATTGTCATTGTGACAATCACTTTCACTGGAGCCCAGAACCCCAGTCTGGCTAGGAATACAGAGTTATTCCAGCACCCTCCAGCAGAGGGAGCTGCTGTTTATAGATTCCAGGGATGGGGGAGGGACATTATGCCAATGAAGATGTAGGATATCGGGGCCCCTAAAAGGAAAAAGGGTGTTATTGTGGCAATAGGGTGATTGTTTTTTTTTATAAATGTGTTTGGTTTCATGATTAATATTTTTTATTTCCCCTTCAATCAGTTTTTCCCATATTTTAAGATTATTGGTGTTTAACTTTCTGGATCTAGAATGTATGCATCTTTGATTTAGGTGAAGTACTGGAGATTCTGCTGTTCTCTCATGCCACAGCAGTTGAATGTCTGCTGCAATGTACTATGAGCTCTCCATTTAGGACTGACATGCAAAGAACAGATGGTGTGAAAGAGTTGTTGGACACATACCATCAGATCCTCTGTAAGTCTGATACACCTGCTGCAATGGCACTGCTTAAACAGGCAGCTCAGGTGGTGAGCTCCTATATTTTAAAATGTCAGTTAATCCATTTTTTTTCGCTTGGACCCTTTTTTCCATGACGTGTTTGAAGATTTCATTAATATTAGATGTAATAACAGTTAACTTCAGGGTGTCACTGGACTCAGTGAGATTTTAATTACAGGTTAAACGGTTTAACCAAGAACATTTCACTATTTAAAGTTTTTAAAGTACCTTCTTGTGTTAAAGTGGTGTAAACCTTTTATCTCTTGGTGCCTTTTGAATTGAAAATAGCAAATTACTGTTTTTGCTATTTGTCTTTTTCAGATCAACAGATCAGATCAGTTCAACAGACATTCCTGTTCCTCCTGTTCCTCATATTTCATTTACTGAAAGTCCAGTTTATCTGCTAAGTAAACACAAAGAGACATGCTGAATGATTTTTGTAAAAACATTTACAACTCAGAACCATTAGTTTTTACAATTTATTTTCTCTTCAGATTTCAGACCCTTCCAATGCGCATCTATCTATAAAATTAGTCTGAAAATTTCCAGTCACTGTAGGCCCAGTTTATTTTCAGTGCTAATATAATGATTTTCAGGCTGTTTATGAAATTCAGTACCTTGTCAATCATAGCTGCTTTTTTATTTCTTATTGTCTTGAGACAGTCAATGCAGTGCCCAGATACTGTATATTCTTGATTCAGTAGTTTCAGCATTTCTTCTACTAGGAAGTCTCATTTCTCAGTTGAAATTTTTGCAACAAGGTACAAAACTTGTGCATGAATCTCTTTGCCAATTTACAATAAAGAAAAAGCATTTTCCTTTTTAGAGCTCATTTCATAGGGGATTAGCTTCATTTTCTATGTTGCCATTGGCTTTACCTTCAACTCTTGCATAGCCCTGAAGTTTTGACAATTTTCATATTCATAAGATGTAAATGTCTTGCTGCTGAGGTTTTCTTTGCGAGAACTGGGATGATATTTTTCACATCATTAATTTCAGACTTTCAGATGCATTTAGAGGCAGCTAAGTGAAAAGAGCAATTCTGATGGTGCCTGAGGACACACTCAGACCTTGCGGGGCTCATATACTTCCTGTAAAGGAAGGAGAACGCTGTGCACACCTGAAATTGATCGGTCCTAAACAGAAGAAATTTAGCAGCTAGCATAATAAAGACATAGTAGTACGTTGTCCAGAGCCATGAAAGTGATCTTGATTGCGTCATGCATACTCACAGTAAAACGCAAGGAACCATTTTGTTTCAGTTAATATTTTAATTCTTTGATCTGAGATAACATTGCATCTGTATAATTAAAGATTATATTAATGATTTTAAACATCTGACTGTCTCATTTCATCATTTCCCCTTTGTGTTTCACTTGAGTTCCTGCTCAGTAATTTGCAGGCAGATATAAAAGTTATTTGAATCCTGAATTTTGATCTTACTTGATGCATATCAGGACATTGTGAGAGTGTGAATATGTTATCACTTGTATTTTTTATCTCTTTCAGAGATTCAGACAAGTGCCAGTAACCCAATACCATTTATCTTTTATGACTTATGATTTACGCTCTCAACTTGTAGACTGCAATTAGTATCTTTTGAGCTTAATGTTATTGGAATTATTTTTTTTAATTCTATGCTAGAGATGCATTATTTTTGGTGTTTCAGAGATTTCTCATCATCCCTTGTTTTATTGTACATTGCTTGTAATCTGTATTGAAGTCTAGGCTCAAAGAAACACGTTAAAAATTAAGAACCTCTTTTTAGTTAAAAATAATCTTAATTAACTGGCCCATGTATGTTTTCATTAGTGACATCCTGGTTCCACAAAGCAGTTATTTGTGCTTTAGGAGCTGGTTCTTTGACCCAAGTACCAGGGCCTGAAGGATCTGTGCTAGCACAGGGAATCTGATTTTGTGCATCTGTGTGAGTCTTCAGGAAGAAAAAAAAGTGCCAAACACATTTACGGGGGAGATGACACCAGAGCATGCAATTGTGGTTAGAAGGCTTTTTATAATTATGATTTCATTTATTCATTGTCTGCCTACACACCACCTCACTGTCTGGAGCTCTTCTGTTATATGTTCAGAAGGTTTTTGTACTTGACAACTGCTGAGAAGCGTGGAGTCATATCCACACTTGCGTGCAGCTCTCACTGGGCACCATCCTGCATTCTTCATGGAAAGACTCCCAAGAGGGTCAGGAGGATTGGGCTGCCCGTCCCTGCCCTGATTGGCACAGACCTGAGCCTGGCCTCGAGAATAATCAGTATCTCAGCTCTCATTCTTGTGGTATCACTGGGAAAGAACATACGGATGTTTTAGCATGATCGTTTAGAGGAAGCTTGGTGCTTGCCATAGGGTTCTGGGAAAGGATTGGATTTTACTTTCTCCTGCTAGCTAGGCCATGTCCCCTGTGCTCAGTGCTCCAGTGGGAGCTCTGTTGAATGTCCATTGCCCAGACTCTTTATTCTGCGTCAGACTGGGTCCTGAGGGGTTCACAACATCTGCATGCTATTGCAGGACTTTCTGAAATGTGGAAAAACAAACAAAAAGCTAAGGTCTCTATTTTATGGCTGTTTATTGTATAAAAAGAAACCTTTCTACTGCATCACTTTATATTGTACAAAACTGAAACCTCATGGTTGTTGCTGGCGAGTCTGTGGTGGCATGCTGTTTGGCTGTGAGCTGGAGGACTCTGGAGTGTGGCTCTTTGTGCAGGAGGGGCCTGTTCAGGACATTCGGAAGTCAGGCATTGCAGCCTCTGCTGGGATATTCTGGATTAGGGCATCTGTGCACATTGTTTTTTAAATCTCAGAATCATCTTCTACACCAAAAATTGAAAGTATCTTAATGCACAAGCATTTACAGTATAGGTTTTTGTCTGTATAGATGCTCATGTGCACATTTTCAAAAGAAAGGACCCCTTCAGTTCTTTTATATCTTATTATTCATGATGTAGTCTCAATACAATAACCTGATTATTTTTAATTGTTATTGCATTTTTAAAATCAGCTGGAAGATAATATGCAGATATGTTCACATCTATCCATCCAAAAAAATGACTTTAGAATTATGGTGGTCCTGCTCTTTAAAGTGTGGATGCATTGATTTTTTGTGCAACTGTTGGCATTGACCAAAAAGTATTTAATACTGAGATTTGCTTTGCATTATATTTTATACGTGGGTGAAAAAAAGAAAATGTAACACAAAACTATAGAAGAAGAGGTGCATACAACTTTGTATTGTAACCTCACACAAACTGCTTAATTTCATTGTAGACTAAATGAGAGATGTGACAAAGTACAGAAGCCTCCTCCTTCAGAAAGAGCTGCTTTGACTCCCTGTGAGAGTTTGTAGGTGAATTCATTTATGCGCTTTTTGTTTGCTAATGCTGTGTACCTCTTGTGGAAGAAGTAATGATCTAATGTTTGCATGACCTGGTTTATACGTGTAAATTAATGAAAAAAATATTCTATGTTGTCAAAAATATTGTGAAGTGAGGAATTTTCACATTAGAAGCCTTTTTGTGTTTGTGGGAATCCATAAAGAAACAGGAATGCAGAGAAGCTGTTGCCTGGGCTGGTATAATAACACACTTACAGGTCATATCTGGCAGCAGTTCTGTAGTATTTATCAATACTCTTTATGTTATATTTCTACATTTTCATATAGATGAATAGCAGGTTATAAAGATAAGTTATATGTACTGTTTCCAATTCTGTTAGCACTAACAGCCCTATTAAAACATTCCATTTCTTGTGGTGGCCATTGTGATTGTATACAATTTTATTTTAAAATGTTGACAATAAATGACTGAATGCCTGTCACCAGGTTGCAGACAGTCTTGGCATGATGTGAAATCTCAGCTTCCATCTCATTTTTTATCTTTTTTTAGATGTGTTTCAAACTTGTAAATGTTGTTAGTAGTGGACTCTCTCTTCTGAGAACTATGTTATGTCTTCATATTAATATAAAATCTGCTTCTTAATTTCAAGATCCACTATGTGAGCAAAAGTGGCAGCCAGTGAAACTACTTTGTTGGTATAGTTTATTGAAGCACTTTATCTCGAGTTTACTTCTCTCCCTTCTAAAATGCTGAAATGTTGCAGTGTGGCCATCAGTATACATTCACCATCTCCTCTTTCTCCTTTAGGAATGTTTTCTTCATTGTTTTGGACAGGTCTGGACTGCCATTCAAACAGAAATGCACCCTTAATTTGGGAACAAATTTAGAACAAGATAATCATATCAAAGTAGAATACCTCCAACACCCAGGTATTGACTTTTTCATGATAGGTCACATTCATGAAAGTATCACTTTATACAATAACTAAATTCACAGGGCTTGATTAGTGTAGTTTTTTTATTCAATTTTGATTTTTTTAAGGAATCCACCAAAATGTCATCCCTACAAATCAAAAGTGCCCCCATATATTTTCATGTTTGAAGAATATTTGCACATGTAAGGCAAAGTCATTCTTGCCTTAAAATGAAAATAAATTATTTATGCAAAATATTTGTAAAGGGCTTTCTTGTTGGTTATTTCTGATCTGGACATGTATCCTCACCATCCAGTAAAGGTGTTTTTTAAGCAAAAGTGCTTGGCTTGTGAACGTTCCTCTCTTTAATTGCTTTTCTATCATTTTCCTTCCATTTTTATTTTGCTAATTTTACTGAGAAAAAGTCAGTATATTATATAAATACATATATATAAATATGTATATCCTTTTTTTGTAAAAGCTGTTCTGAGCTACTAATGTATGGATGCAATGCATCGTGGGTTATTGAATATTACTATGGATTACTGCTCAATATTAAAGCCAATGATTTGTACCTTTGAAGATTTGTTAATGGCCAATAAAATAAAATTTCCTTGTCTATGCACTGTGCGTTCTGCAATCTCAATCTGAATGAGCCTTATGTGCTTGTGTTTCTAAGCAGTATTTTTGTTTTTTTAAGAGTGACACTGAAGTTATTGCTTGACCCCAAAGTAATCTGAGCAAAAGCAGGCAGTGGCCACAATGTCCATTTAGTGGCTGTTTTAGGACCAACTAGATCTTGATCCATTATCGCAATGCCACATATTCCTGTTAAGGGTTGGGGTAAACTGCAGCCTGTCCTGGAAGCTCAGAGCACAAGGCAGGACTACATCCTGGATGGGATGCCAGTTCATCGCAGAGTTCACAGACCCAGAGACATGTAATAGACACATGTAACCCAGCCAGCATGTATTGGGATTGTGGGAGGAAACCTGCGCACCTGGAAAAAAACATTGCAAACACAGGAGACCATGCAAGCTCTGTACAGAACTGCCACAGAATGGATTTGAACACAGAACACAGTGAAGTGTGAGGCTGCACTGCTGTCTGCCATGCCATAATGTCACTCCCAAAATATTAAGAAATTTGTTTTGCAAAATTACTGAATAGTTTTCACCTAGTAGCCTGTGCTGTGAATGAGGGTGCTTAGGTGAAGCATGATGCAGAGTTTTTTTTATCCATCTTCTATAGCTGAAGAAGTAATGTGCTCACACTGAGGGATTATCACTATTAGGTTTCTTGCATTCCACTGCGAGTTAATAACTTGACTGATATATGCAGTACTTCAAACAAGAATTGTTTAAAGACCACAGACCATAGTTTGAAATCCCCTTGAAACCTCTTGCCCCCCCCCCCCCAAAAAAAAGGGTTAGTTTAAAATAGCCAATCAAACCTTACCCACATGCCTCTGTGAGGTGGGAGGAAACCAAGGTGCTCTGCGAAAACTAACATGAATACAGAAGAGAACATGTAAACTGCACATTGACCACTACCATACTGCCCATTTTTCTTTGAGGAGAGGCTGAAACTTAAACTGGTAATTTATTGCCGCAAAATATCAAACAAAACAGAACATCAGAATATACAGTACATACATTATGAAAAAAAGAGATGTTATTCAGTGTAACATCTGACCTGAAAATTCAGGGACTGATTGCATTTTGCTGTGAATGTGCTGAGGATAGTAATAGTGACAGGGGATAATAGTGGGTTTGGAAGCTGTCTTTGTGGCTTTAAGAAACTGCCATGTCTGCTATGTAGTTAATCTGTGGTCCGCAATGGAATCAGGGAAGGTGGGTCCTGGAATATTTTTCCAGAGACAGTTTGTAGGAGGTACTTATGCAGAAATGAAAGAAGTTTGGACTTCCTTACTCCTTCAAATACAGTACTTGAGCTAGAAGAGAAGAAGATATTTCAGTGCATTATCTATACAAATAGTAACCAAAGGAAAGCAATATTATATAAATAACACTCTGTCTGCCACTCTGCAAATTCCTTTAAGACATCTTTACATAAAGGAGAATGTCTAGAATGGGCTTTCAATTCTGGAGACTAGTCTCAAATGCTGATTACTTTTAAGACTCGGATGACAATTTCACTTAGCTACTAAACTACCAAACACTTAAGATTGATTGAATGATGTCTTCTAATGTTCATCTTTTCTCATGTCCTTGATACCAACAGTGATAAATATTGTGGCAAAATACTTGAAGACATTAGGTTACTCAAGAATAGCTTTAGAGAGTGCTTCGTAATAGCAGTGTAAAACAGGAAGGAGAGCCAAGACATTTAAATTAGTCTACAGTGCCATGGAAAAGTATTTGCTCTAGTTTGACTTTCTCCAAACTTAAAGCGCGGTCTGCTGCCTATAAAAAATCATGGTACAACCTGGAGAAAGATATTAAACTAGCAAAGCAGGACTACAAGGACAAATTAGAAAAACAGCTTGGGGGTGACTCAAGGCACATGTGGCAAGGCTTGCAGGCTATCACAAATTACAAAGGCAACACCAGCAGTACTTTTTGCACTGAAGCATCTCTGCCAGATGAGCTGAACACCTTTTACTCTCGTTTTGAGGTTCAGAACACAGAGTCCGCTATCAAGGCTCCCTGTGAACCAGGAGACTTTGTGTTAATGCTCTCTAAACATGAGGTGCATAGAGCCTTTAAGAGAGGGAAAACCTGTAAAGCAGCCAGCCCAGATGATGTTTCCCCTCATGTACTTAAAAACTGTACAGGTCAGCTATCCCCATGTATACAGACATTTTTAACCTCTCTCCGTCCCTGTCAGCTTTACCAGAATGCTTTAAGAAAAACACAATTGTGCCACTTTCCAAGAAGAACAAGGTTCTTGCTTGCTTGAACGATTACCGCCCAGTGACACTCACTTCATGAAGTGCCTGGAAAGCCTAATATTGTTGTATATAAATTACTTTATCCCAGACTCCCTTGACCCACTTCAGTTTGCTTAACACTCGAGGACACGTCGGTTGATGATGCCATATCTCTAGCACTACATACTGCCCTAGAACATTTAGACAGATGGTGTACCTATGTTAGTTTTATTGTTTATTGTAAACAACTGTTTATTGTTTACAGCTCGGACTTCAACACAATTGTTCCCCATAAACTGGTCCTAAAACTCAGGAACCTGGGCAGGAAAGAGCCTGGAAAGAATGGTATGAGAAACTTGAAACAAAGGAAGGAGAGGACCAAATCTACAAGATTGCTAAACATAGAGCGAGACAGAAAAAATATTATTATCAGGGTGGCAGTACTCAAGGATGGAGAAGGCAGAGTCTTGATTAAAGAAGAACAGATCAAGCAAAGATGGCTGGAGTACTTCAAAAATCTGTTAAATGTAGAAAATGAGAGGGAGAACCTAGTGGAGGCAGAAGGTAGTGTGTGGACCAATCCAAGAAATTTCAGTAAAGGAAGTGACAGAAGCTATCAAAGAGATGAAAGTGGGCAAAGCAACTGGACCATCAGGAATAGCAGCAGAACACTTTAAGAACCTTGATAAAGAAGGGTGAATTCAGTGGCTGACGAGATTTCTAAACAATATCGTAAAGGAAGAGAGAATTCCAGAAGAATGGACAAAAAGCAGTATGGTTACCATCTACAAGGAGAAAGGAGACCCAATGGAGTGTAAAAACTATAGAGGAATAAAACTTCTGGAACATGGATTGAAAATCCTGGAAAAAAAATCCAGAGACTCAGGACGATAGTCAGGATCCACAACTCACAATTTGGATTCTCAGCAGGGAAAAGTACAACAGATGCCATTTTTGTGATGAAACAGTTACAGGAGAAGACACTAGAGAAAGGGAAAAAGCTGTATGTGGGCTTTCTGGACTTGGAGAAGGCATATGACCGTGTGCCCAGAGAGGTGGTGTATTGGTGCTTGAGGAAGAAAGGAGTACTAGAAAGCACGGTGAAGTTAGTTCAAGCAACCTATAGAGATGTAACTACGAAGGTGATGAAGGTGAACTACAGAAGAAAGTGTTCAAATGGCAGAGGAGTCTGGAAAAGGGTGGACTGAAAATGAATGCAGAAAAATGCAGAAAAATCTGAAATAATGGTAATGGAGAGAAGAGGAGATACTATGACCAATGTTGAGGAGACAAATGGAGGAAAACTGAAACAGGGTTATGGCTTTAAATACCTTGGATTAAAACTGGTAAAGGGAGGAGAAACACTGGAGGCAGTAAAACAAAGAGTGAAAGCTGGATGGAACAATTAGAGAGAAATAACTGGAATAATCTGTGACAGGAAAATTCCTAGAAAGTTAAAGTGCAAAATGTATAAGACTGTGATTAGACCTGTACTACTATATGGAGCTGAATGCTTGGCAGTTGGAAAGAGGGAAGAGAACTTGATGAGAAGAACTGAAATGAGGATGTTGAGATGGATTCTGCAGAATTCAATGAAGGATAAGATCAGAAATGAAGAAATCCTTAGACGATGTAGGGTGGTGGATGTGGCTGAGAAGATGAGAGAGGCGAGGTTACGGTGGTATGGACATATCATGAGGAGGGACATTGAGGAAGTAACTTAGAGGGTAATGGAATTTGAGGTGGAAGGTAACAGGGGAAGAGGCAGGCCTAGAAAGAGATGGATAGATTGTGTGAGAAAAGATATGGAGGTATGTGAAGTGAGTGAGGAAGATGTGCTCGACAGAGACAAGTGGAGAAGAGCAACCAAAGCAGCTGACCCCAGGACAGTCTGGGACTAAGGCTGTGAAAAAGAAAGAAGAAAAGGGTCTCAGTACTACGTATTTATTTATTCTTTTACAACATATTTATTGTTCCTGTTGTCTACATTGTGTGGTGTTGTCTTTTGTACTGTGTATGTCCCGAGAGATCAGTGCCATTAAGACTTCCAATGTATGTGTACATATGGAAATAAACTACTCTACTCTCTAGTGCATGTTTTTCACACCGAATTTGGTCTTTTCTTGAGGTTGTAGTAGTACAGTATATAGAGTGGAATTTGAGGGATAAAGTGACATCAAAGTTTGTTGCCTTCATTTGTTTGGTATGCAAGGTAATCAAACACACAGTCTTCATGTGTGAAAAAGTTACCCCCCAGGAAATTCAATTAAAATTCACAATCAGGCCTGTTGAACCTGGCTGACTTGCTATCGTTGAAGAAACAATGAATTCAGCTCTCAGTCAGGAGAATACAAGAGAATGTCAGGCCAATCCATCCATGAGCTTAAACTGAAGCACAAATGGGACAGTGCAAGAGAATAATCTGAAAAACACAAGAAAGTCTACATCTGAATGGTTGAAAAACAAGAGTCTTGGAATAAGCTGGTCAAAGTCCAGACTGAAATGTTGTGGCAGGACCTGAAAAGATCAGTTCGTGCTCGAAAACCCATAAATGTGATTGAGTTGAAGCAGTTCTGCATGCAAGAGTGGGCCAACATTTCTCCACAGCTCTATGAGAGACTTATCAGTTACTAAAGGAAACATCTGGTTGCAGTTATTGCTGCTAAAAGTGACATGAGTCCAAGGGGGCAATTACTTTTTCATATGGGGCATTGTGTGTTGCATACAT